CAACACTCATGAGTTACAACAACTTAGGTGGCCAGAAAAGTTGTCAGTGGCATAGGACACTGGTTTAGGAGGCAAGAGGTTTAAGTTTTATTTTCACCACCAGCAAAGTCTCGGTGAGTCGCTCTCTTTTGTTTTCTCTCCCGAAAAGGCTACACCAAACGCCTTCACAAAGCATGTTACTGAGCCCTCCTGTTTTAGAACAGCTCTGTATCTTCTAATGTCTACACAACATCCACATCTGCACAGCAGAGCCTGCCATGGGATAATTTTATGTCTCAGCTATGTTTCCATCCTCAGATCTTCAGTCTTTTAGAGCAACAGCTTTAGAAATACTGAGCATAAATCTTGACGCAGTCTACCATGAAGAGTCTTTTACACTGTAGTTAATTAAAGAAGTTTAAACTGTACTTCTTCTTCCTCCTCTGGCATTGGGCCTACTTGGTAATTAAAGCAACAGATTTCCTAAATACAGGAGGAGGGTAGATGAAGTCTGTGTTCTCATAATTTAAATTCGTTTTCATGCTGCATGTATCTTGTACCAGTCTTGGCTTTGTAAACGATGCAAATGTATAGAGATCTTGAGACTCCATTCTTCCCCACTCTCCTTAATGTCACCATATATGAGGGAGGTGTGTTATTTCCATTATGTAGGTGACATTTAATGATAATTTCTGCTGACATTTCTATTGCTTTCCTGGAATGACTACTGTGAGTAAACAGCCTTTTGTTCTCCTTTTCAGCAGCAACCTCACTTTCCTTACAGACCCAGCATTCTCCTTCTGCAATGTAAATGTAATTTATGAAAAAGAAAAACCTGGCCTAGTCTGACTTGCTGGGTTTTTCTTCCCTTCATTGGCATAGTGACTTGCCAAGTAGCTTACATTTTACTTGAATACAGCTGGCAAAGCACTGCCACCTCTGCATCATTATCGTGAATGCGTGTAGTGATCTCACATGTACCAGTCTCTGCTTCAGAACTTGAGGGTGAATAGAGGTAATTTATCCCAAACTCTTCTGTGTCAGTGATTGCCTAATTTACAGCAGATCTGTGCACCGGCAGCTCTCTTTCAGTCGAACACAGTTGTAGGCTACCCAGCACTTTAGAAAATCAAAGGTGTCTTCTTTTACTCTCTGAATTTTGATTTAATTTGCAGCATCTACACTGCACCATCAAGTGAAAGAATTTATGACAGAAGAGTATGAATAAAGGCAAATGTGCTTTAAAAGGTGCAGAAGTCAAGAAAATCCCTCTAATACATTATCTGTACCATTTATTTACCCTCTGGATTTAGGACTTTGCATGTATTAGCACTAAAATGTCTTATGCATTTGGTAACAACCATGTTTGCAACTTCTCAATCAATTTGTTGCTAACTACCCCCATCATATTTAGTATCTCCTCACACTAGTATAGACAATTTTCTTTAAAAGCAAAAATCTGCCCTGAGTACAGATTCAGTATCGGTAGCGATAGAACGAGGGGTAATGGCTTTAAACTGGAAGAGGGTAGGAATGAGATTAGACATTAGGAAGAAATTCTTCCCTGTGAGGGTGGTGATACACTGGCCCAGGTTGCCCAGGGAAGCTGTGGGTGCCCCCTCCCTGGAGGTGTTCAACGCCAGGCTGGATGGGGCTGTGAGCAGCCTGGGCTGGTGGGAGGTGTCCCTGCCCATGGCAGGGGGTGGACTGGATAAGCTTGTAGGTCTCTTCCAACCTGAACCACTCTATGATACAATTCTATGACATGAATAATGCCAGATACAGACAACAACTCATTCTTGTTTTTAATTTTTAAGCATCTTTTTTGGTTCAGCAACAACGGAGCATCAGAATATTCTGCAGCTGGAGGTGACATATCTTCACTGAAACATGTCTCTGAGGTCTTGATTCCTTTGAAAATTAATGAGTTGGAGATGCTTTGCTTAAGAGAAGTCATATTAACCCCTCTGCCCCAGTGAGACTCCAAAGTGTATAATTGTGTCCTGTCTAAAGCTCTGAGTAACTGCATCACTCTCCTGCCCCTGCCTGAAACTCCAGTTGCCATCAGCTGCGCTATCCTACCTGTGGAGCCAACTTATATCACTACTTAGTAAACTTCAACTTACTGTCCTAAACCTTGGTGCAGTTCTCCTTTGCTCAGGAATGCTATTCCCTCAAAGCAAATGCAAGTTGGTAAAGAAGAAACCAGACAGCAATAGATGTAATCTTGGTAATTCCTTACCAAACACCAAGCTACTACGTTAGGGAATGCTATACAATACAGAGCAACATGAAATAAATTTCCCAGGGAAAAAAGAATTCATAAAAACGTCTAAGGAAAATAAATCCTGTCTTCTATCAGAAGCACTCATAACAATGCTTCCACATGGCATCCTTAGCAGTCTTCTCCCATAAACCCTCTCAGCCCCTGCGACAAGTCTTGTTTCCAACATGACCACAGCACCACGACTCTCCTACCCTGGCTATGCCTGAAATACTTCTCAGGATTATTTCCTATGACAGAAATTATTGTGCAGGTTTCTCATAGCCTGTTTCATCTGCACTGACCTGCTAGAGGCAGGTTTTTATAGCTAGGTGGCCATGTCCTGTTAGTGCAAAGGCTGAGAAGACTGTGGAGATGTTCCCGCCATGTGGACTCACCAATTCCACATGTGCCCAGACCTTTCACATCCCTTAATAACAAAATGTTGGGGGAACTTGGAAATGCAGGATCTAGGCTGAAAAAACCCTCCACTGCACTGTTGATTCTCTTCTTCTACGTCACTTGACTACATCATACAGTCTGCTCCATGTCCTCATTCTCCACTGTGGAGCCCGTGAAGGTTCTTCTCCTTTCTACCCCCACTAGGAAGGTTCTGCCTCAGATTTTCCTCTTCTAATTTCATATATTTCGATCCTGGACTGAAGATCAATTGTACCTTCATATTCTCATGCTGCTTTCAAACTACAAGTGCTTAAATCTATTGGTACAAAGCTGGTTGTATCCATGTTGTCCTAATCTTTACCTTGAACTTCCGTATCAGTAATTTTCATTCCACTTCCACAATGCTGGCCCTTAAAATTACCCATTTCCTTCTCCACCCTTCCTCTGTGCTAATGAGGGAAGGACATATTTCTAGTAATTTCCACAACTGCATTTTTTAGCTCATTTTCCACTCAGTTCGAGGTCTTTAACATTCTCCCTGTAAGTATTTATACCAAACCTTGAATGCTACTGACATCGGACTAATGAACTCACAGTCAATTGGATCACTTCCCCTTGAGCTTTCAAACATTTGCATCGGTTGCTATTTTGCAGTAATAAGCTGCTATTTCTCCCACCCTTCCCCCCAGCTTCTGATTTCGTGTTCCTCACTCTGAGATGGAGACCATATTCTCCTCCCAATTTCTGGGCACTCAGTCATGGTTGCTAAGCTGAAATATTACAGTCTTACAACTCTCAACAGCATTTGATTTCCAATAAATGTCTGGAAAGTGAAAGCATCACATGATTTCTAATTCTGTATCAAATAAATTTCTCCACTATTGGAGAGATCATTCCAACTTTAACTCAGCAGTTTCCCCACACTCACGAAGTGTTCTTTACAACACTTCCCCAAAGTGATCTGACTCAAACCAATTTTGTTTTCTCTGACAACGACTTCCTACTCCTTTATTGCCCACTGCATTTTTAATATATTTCTAAAATGATTTCATTATCCTTCATGAACAACTAATATCTTTCAATAACCATACTGCAGTAAAGACAGCTACTCTGCCATTTTTTCTGCTGTTTGTTTTAGCTCTCCAAATATTTTGATCTCCGTATTTTCACAATGTGCTGGCATCAGCTCACAAACAAATTGTCTCTGCCCAGACTAGGTAGAGAATTTACCAGACTACAACTCTCATCAATATTTATGCTTTCTTCTTTACAGAAAGAGAAAAGTATTAGAGTGGAAGCATCACAAGAACAAATAGTGGCTCTAAGCAAATACAAATCAGAAAAGAATTCTTATGGGTTTTATGGCAAAGGCAAAGCAAGTGCTTTATAAAGGCATTTAAACAGTGAAGTCAAAGCAAATAACACTTTTCTGTCATTGAATATTCAGCTCTCCTGAGATGGCTATTAAAAAGTTTATACTAATTCACCCACTAACCCACCCTCTAGAGGCAAAGTTAGGCAGATGATACTTAGAAAGCAAAAGTAAATAATAACTTTTTTCCAAATTAATATATCCAGCAAAATATATACATAATCTATCCAGTTGCCTTTGTATTAATTAAAGTTGGTAAGGAGTGTCAGCATCAGCACTTGGAAACCTGTACGGAGTTGAGAGTCGAGTGGTGTTGTCTGAACTCCTGCATCCAGATTTGGTTTCCGTTCTCAAAACCAGGAATGAAATGAAATAATTCCAAGGAACACACGGATTTTTTCCTTTCAGTAATCACTGAATAACGAACAGCACATGTTTTACCATACACCATCTTAGTAACTGGTTCTTTCTCATTTAATTTGAGGAAACAGAGTTTTCACCTTAAAAACAAAAGCAAAGTAAAAGCCCTTACTTGGAACAATTAGCTCAATTTCTTCTGACATGGCAGTTCCCAGAATATTGGATGCATAGCAACGATATTTCCCTTGAAAATTGGTGATGATTCCACGGTTCTGAATCACAAAAGTTCCAGAGTTGTTAGATGCGACTATCCTTGGGTCAGATAATAAATCAAATGGTTTTCCATCCTTAGTCCAGTTGAAGCTGAAAAATAATACAAGTGTTACAAAGAACTGGTCAGAGAACAGAGTGAAAACAGTGGTAAAGATAGGTCCAATTATATATTACTATTAAAATAAAAGGAAAAACTTGATATAAGAGGAGAGTTGGATGGTAAAATGACCACTGTGCTACTATAACTTGTTTTAGCTATTGGGCATGTCTCTCCTATCGGACACTTTACTTTTGGATAACTGACTGTGACATGAAATAAGAATACAAAGCTTAAGGCAAGGACAATAAATGAGAGAGACTATGTGTGAAAGCAAGAGCCACACAGCGAAAGGAAGAAGAGGTTTGTGAAAAAGCTGTGTCTGTAAGAGAGTCAGTACTTTTGACTGGCAAGGACTGATAGGAGCTCTTCCCACCAGCTACCATGTTTGAACACAGGGAAAACTGAGATGACTTGACTGAGCTTCTCCTGGTCTTCACATAGTAGCACTTGTAGTTTTGATGCTAGTGGGGTGTGATTTTGATGAGTGCTGAAGTATTGGTCATAGTTTATGTATCTGGAAGTCTCAGGTAGCCTGAAATCGGGCTAGACTGATTCAGAGTCAGAGACAGCTGGAAATTACAGTATAGCATGAATTTAGTGGAACATGTACCTTTTTCAATATTTTGCAATGTTTTAAGAGAATAATTTAATGTCACAGAAATTTATGGTTTGCTACTTAACTTACTGGCAAAACTGCCTTGCTACAATAAGGGGGAGAATATGGGTTCATATCGCCTAACAAGGTCTATCGCATACATTTACACATACCAGAAAACCTTTCATTGAAACACTGACAAACAGTGAAACAAAGGAAATACGTTACAAATCTCCATTCACAACTCAATTAAAAATGATCAAATAATCTTGATAAAAAAATAACAACTGCCTTTTTAAAGTAACTTTAAATTGTGTTGCAGAGAAAGAAGGAAAGGTTTAAAGAGTAAAAATGAAATGCAGACCAGCTATTAATTTAGTTTATACAACACTCAGTGGTAAAAGTCTCAAGAGGATCTTTTACTATGCTATCATTACACTTTTGTTAATCACATTTTCATTAAAAATATTTTTCTTTTTTCCACTGGTGTAAAATACCCAGAGCTTATAGAATCATAGAATGTATTGGGTTGGAAGGGACCTTTAAAGATCATCTAGTCTCCTCCACACCCCCCACACACTTTATCTTTGGATTTTTTTTTAATAACTCCTTATTTGTACATTTGTAATATCACCATGGCTATGATGATGTTAGGTACAGACAAGGTACCTGATAAAATGCAAATGTGATCTCCAAATACATGATTTAATGTGCTTTGTATTTTTAGGGTTGCTGTGGAAAAGGCAGAGGACCAGCTGGGAGCCTTTGATTACCATTGCACACCTCCTATCTTTTGCAGCACAGCCCAGAGAAGCTCTTTTAAATAATGGGGTGATCCTGGCACATGCTAGAGAAAGAGAACATCTCCCAACAAGAAAAAGGCATGTTGGTTTCTATTCACAGAGTGAGTAGATGTGATCGAGCAACAAAATGGCATAAATGGCATAAAGAATAAACCTTAACCTCGCCTTACGATGATGAGCAGGTCACTGTACATGAGCTATTCCTAAACCTCCTCAAAATCAGAACAATGTTTGACAAAGGGTAAAGGCAAACCCATTTTCTGCTTGCCTCTCCAGGTGAAAGCAGTACTCACGTGGGCTGTGGGTTTCCTCTAGCTTCACATTTAATTGTAAAGTCCTCATCAAAAGGGTAGGCAACCTGGGTGTGAGATTGCTCCGTGATTGTTGGAAGCTGCACAACTGAACATAAATAGGTACCAGGTTAAAACACCATTTAAGCAAAACCATGCTCTGCTCAGGTCCTTTCTTCAAAAGAGATGATGTCAGGGTTGCCTTACTCCTGCAAAAAGTGAGGCTAGTCTTAAAAAAAAACCAAAACAGGGATGATCATCATCATCTTCCTGGCATTGACAATACTCTCTGCTTCCAAAACTGAACACTGTTATTGCCCCAGCAGCCAGAGGAAGGCTTCACAGCACTGACTAGTAATGGACAGGTTATGGTTGGACTCAATGGTCTTAAAGGTCTTTTTCAACCAAATGATCTATGACTGTGTTTGCTCAGCCGCTTACAGGTATCACCTGTGCACGCTTCCATGTACGATCAACCCATCCAGGCCAGAGGAGAGCTGGAGCCATGCTACAGCTAAAGCCAAAACATGGGTGTGTGGACTGGTAAATTTATTCAGCGGTCAAGTCAGTAACTAGCTGTTTAATCCAGATACACATACACATGCATGAATCAGCAAACTGCTGTCTCCATTCTGGATAAAATTGCCAGGAAATTCATGGACTGCAAAGATGCCTTAATACCCCCTTCAGGGTACCACAGGGGAAGAGCCACTAACAGTCACACAGTCACGCCATGATGTTTCACTAACTTTTTTTTTCTGAGGGAATTAAAATGTTGCAAATGCCTGTGTAACAGCCAAACGAGGGAAAATGCTCCCCGCAGTGGAGCTGGGGATAATAGGATCATCACATTGTTAAAAACAGCCAGGAAGAAAACTAAAGTGTTCTTCGGTTTCTCTTTTAAGTCAAGGAAGCTCAAAGCTGGTGTGAAACATGGTGTCTTGCCATACCAGAAGCTGAACACTTCCAAGTCCACCAGCTTCACTGATCAGACATAATTCCTTTTTATTAAAATATAAAATGCATCATTAAAGCAAATTAAGGGCTAGATGGTTCCCCCGTGTAGGTACTTAAAATCAGTGGATGCCCAGATTGTCCTGCACTTTACAGTCACAGCTTCACTTTTGCTTTACTTAAGCACAACGAGCCACTGCTGTACCTTCCTCTAAAAAATACTTCTACTTCCAGATGCTGTTAAGCAAGTTTAGATAGCTTTAGAAAAATATTTAGAAAAATATATAATGTCCCACTTGATTGCCTTCTCCTCTGCAGCCAGGGCTATTGGCAGATTCCAGAGTGCCAACAGCTCATGGCAGGTCCACATGATGCCCTGAAACTGGCCTGTGTCCTACTCTGAGCCCACAGCACCCAAAGCCCTGCAAAGATAAATTTCTTTTTCCTTAGTTTTATTTATTTTTTTATTTACCCCCACTATAATTCATTCAAGATCCAATACTGTTGAGTTTTGCTTTGTTATGTTTCCCCGCCTCCCCCCCAGCTGTAGCTTGCAATCCTTCTGGTCCATTCCTGTTTGAAAAAAGCAAAGCTTGGGAGGTCCGGGCTGTGCTCCAGGCAGTGGGGTCCTATAGCTTTCATTGGATTGTCCCCTATGAGGCTCATCCCACGTTTTACACGTGTCGTAAAACCACACCAACCATGTAAAACAGGCCATTTGAATGCATCACAGCTAGAGACAGATAAAGGAGGTGCTCCCCAGGGCAGCGTACAAGGCGTAGGAAATACTTCTCTGGGGACTAATGTATACCCCCAGACATACACCTGCTCCTTTTTCAGACCAAAATGGCAAGTTGTGAGACAAGTAAGTAAGGGTATGTGTACCCATAAAGCTTCAAACAAGCTTCAGGGAGATTCAGAGCCAAAATGAGGAATTTGTCTGAAGGACAGCACCAAACCCTTGGAGCTAAGCAGCATGTTGGATCACAAACACCAGGTATATGTTATTAAACAAGTTCACTGCTACATTTAAACAGGCCCTAACAAAGTAGCTTATGTTTTTTTCACGTATGAGTTTCCCAAAGGCCATGTCCTGGCAGAATTAAATTCAAAACGGAACAACTGAAAAGCAGGATTTAATATTTTTTTCTTCAGGGAAAGGTTAAAAAAAAAGTAAAAAAAAAAGTATACCAAATCAAAACGGCAAAGTGTTCAGTAAATAGCTACAACTCACCTGATAATGGTATTTCAATAGCTGCTGCCAAACTCAGTACAAAGAAAAATAGGCATATGGTGATCCCTTTTGTGCTTAATAGCATCTCCATCACTCTTCTAAACAAGGAGTCCAAACAGAATGAGAGATACCTTATGCTTCCTCTCGCCGTCACTTCAAATCAGACGTAAGGATGGGAAATTGAAAATCTAGTGAGGAGAAGACACAGCCATATTAGCTTGCAATATTAACTTGGTTTTAACAAGGTTACTAAATTAAAGCAATGCTTCAGGATTTGCAGCTAAATTGCAAATAGTGCTAAGCAGTATAATTTCCTCTCCTCTTTCTCCTCACCCTGGCTTCGGGAAGGTCTTCTATTAAATTTCTAAGAGAAAAATGCATGTACAAGAATACAAATCCATTACAGCACAGAAGTATATTTATTTTTTGTTTTGCAATTAAAAGTAGAGATGGTTTAAAATACGATATACTTGTAATCATTACAGTTCATAAATTTTTCTAATGAGAGTTGTGTAAGTTGGAAAGTAATGTAACACACCTAATGAGAGAAATTTGGTACACTAATGACCTTGTTCATAGATCTTGTAAGTGTTTTATCTTTCATTTAGGTTTAAAAAAGACACAGTCTAGTTCTGTTCATTAATAAGGCCCAGAACATGAAACCTTTGCTTTTCCTCCATAGTCCCAGATCTACTACATGTCAGTTTTACACAATCCATTACATATCCTTAATTTCTGCATTACAAGGCAAAAATGTCAGGCAGCTGCCAAAAGGAGCCATATTCAGCTCTAATGAGCGTTTAAGTGTAATTCATAGAGGAGTAAAGGAGAAAGAATTCTACAGATATGGGTGCATGGACGATTTCAGTCTTCACCATCACGCACTATATCTCAGCAAAACACTCACCCGTATAAGGTGTTTTGTACCTGTGCATCTTCTCATACATAGCACTTATGGGGCATCACTCACAAGACCTCAACTGTCAAGATAATTCTGCACAAGCAATTTTAAGACAAGGCTGCTATGATGGAGGTGAGGACCAACCCGCCAGATGCGCAGCCCTGCGTGGCACATTGAGCTCCAAGCTCACAAGCAGAGCTGTACAGCCACAGCAATACTTCTCCAGACTGAGCCTGGCTTGCACACAGCTCCTGTATCTTTGCATACACCACCCGGTTAATCCACAGATCAGAAAAGCAATCCCGGGATGACCGAGAGCAGTTGGCATGTGGGGGCAGACAGGAGGTGGGACGTGGCAGCGTGCTGGGGATGCTCGCTGTGCTCTGCACAGCTGGCTGCAGCTGGAGCAGAGACAGCACCGAGCCACACAGCCAGCACACGTCGGTTCACGATGGTTTGGTCCTCCTGGGTGGTTTGCCAGACCTTTACAAAACACAGGCATAAAGCAGAGATTTCCCCTGTACCCAGCACGCTCCCTCTGGCATTGGCTCTCTGAGATGAGCAGCAGGTTGTGCTGTGGCCTCTGCTCCAGCGGCATTAGCAGGATCATTGCTGTTCACCCAGTCACCAGTTCATGAAAACTTTTCTGGAAGTTAAGGTCTTTGAGACAAAAATCCCTGGGTGAAGATTGAAATTGGCCAACGAGGGGACAAGAGACAGACACTATAATCACATAAGCCTCATTTGTTTAGAAATGAGGCTAAAAAACAGATGTCTTATAAGTATCTTAGGCACTGAGTGTTCACTGATGGAAGAAGCCGACTAATCTGCTTAGTGCCTTGCTCCATAGAGGGGGACAGTGCAGAAGGGCACTGGAGGGGACAGGAGGACAGAGACACAGTGGCTGAGCTGCCACCCCCAGGTTGTGTCTGGTTGCAAATCAGGCAGAATCAGTCAATATCAGTAAGTTCTGTTTTGTGGTAGTCAAAATTCCTGCAGTTTGGTTTTGCCTAGCTCTAACTTGTGAGCAAGAGACCTTTCCAAACCTCAGTCCCATAAAACCTGGGCTCTAGGACAGCAGGAGGGGGTACCCACAATCTGCCAGCAGCCACCTGATGGTGTCAAATTGGTCACTGCTGGGCTGGGCTCTCCTGCCCTGCCTTACCTGCTCCTGGAAAACGCTCAGCGCCAGATCTACCCCTGCCACAGATGATAAAACGGATGCTCTGACAGTAAACCCTCTAGCCACACAATTGGAATTTAGGCTCACAAAAACCTGACCAGCAATGGAACATGTACCAGTCGGTACTTCAGTGGTAGTGAAGCCTTCTTCTGCCTGCAGCTGGTGTCAGCTCTGGGAACCACAGTGTCACGATGCCAAGCAGAGAAAGTGGAGCTTAGATAATAGAAGGTATGCAGCTTGCTAAGTCTGCAGACTGAGGAGTAGGAAGGTTGGTTGGTTGTTCTTGTTTTTGTTTTTTTAATATGAATGTTACAAAGCATTGTATAGATTCAGATGAAATTCATGAGAAAGCAGAAAACCAGCTTGATTCCTTAACCAAACTCATTCGCTCATGCTTTCCGGTTTTTGTTGGTTTTTTTGTTTGGTTTTTTTTTGGTTGGGTTTTGTTGTTTTTTTTTAATAAAGTGACAGAGAGCAAAGCAGAAATGCACTAAATCAAAAGGATATCCTTTATCATGTGGTACAGCAGGACTTGCCTCTGCAGGCTGCTGTAATTAGTCGGTCTGTCTAGCGCCTCGCTCCCTTTCCCTGTGTTGAATACTAATGCAGGGGCTGACAGCACCAGCATTTGGAAGCAGCAAGCACCCAGGAACTGATGGCACTGGCCATGTCCACAGCAGCTGGATACTTCCAAAGACCACTTGGAAATCTCCCTTCAGCTGCATTTAACCTCTGCTTTTTTTTTTTCCTGTGACAGTTTCCAGAAGGTACGATCCCAGGGTGATGTGAATTAAGCAATGGTATCTTTGCAGAGGTATTTTACCTAGTGATAGCTATCTAGCAAGATAAGCCTCCTGTTCATATGTTATATATATATTATCCCTAATGGCGTAGCACAGGAGTTCTCCTGTGGCTGTTAGGGAGCACATCTCCTCCAATGTGTCCCACTCAACTGGTCGCTCCTCTGTGCCCTGCTCTGGACAGCGATGGTCCTCAGCAGATGGACAGCTCGAGACATACATCCTCCCCACAGCGAGACCCGTGTCAAGTGATTAACCTTATTTAAGGTGATGGATAGGACAGGGCTGTCACGCGTTCGGCTGTCCCATCAAGCCTCAGGCCCACAGCTCTGCTGAAACTGCAGAGTCTCTGATTAAATCACCAACCTTCCTTCTCATCTCTAGCGCCCAGACAACCTCGAGCCCCTTCCTAAATGAGCAACACCAGACATCCACCAGACACCCCACACAACCTGGCCTTAAATGTACATGAACTTCAGGCAGCATCGTCTTTCACTCCTAGGATCATTTGACTCCAACCCAAAACTTCTCATCAAGTGCCAGTTCCTAGCAAATTAACTCTTTAACTGCTTAAGTAATTTTGAGAAATAGATGAGGTTGCTGCACAAGTGCTCAGCAGCTATGGGTGGCTTTCAGTCTCACTGGTGCCAAAGCACAACACTCTCCTGGGGGCCAGAGAGCAACCTGCAAAATTTTGACCCTGGTAAAAACACTGGCTCAGCTCTCCAGGCCAGAGTGCAGGACCAGGCCCAGAGCTTGCAGTGGATCCCTGCCTTTTCCCAGGAATTCTGCATTTTCCTTTGTTCACATCAGGACTCTGCTGCAGCATCCCCTGCATCAGGGAGTAGGGTAAAAAGATTCCCAAAGAAAGCCTTCCCTGGGCACAACGAATGAACACACATTGCTACAATGAATGTTACATTTAGAATCCTTTCTCTTCCTTTTTCTTTCCCCCCCTTCTCCTTCCATTTCTATCTTTATGTTCCCTTTTCTCCGCCTCAGGCTTAAGCCAAGTAATTTGAATTCACTGCAAATACTTATCTGTAGTTCCTTACCTGCGATTCATTATTTACTGTGCTGTTCAGTTAATAGTAAATACTGATTGCTCTAAGAACAGCTCATTTGTTTGTTTAATGAGCTGCCTTTAACTTACAGTGAGCAAATCTTTCAAAATATCAGTATTTCTGAGGAGCGATGCAGTTCCAGATTCTTTTATTGTACACCATTGCTTCCAGAAGCGTGTAATAAAAATATTGGACAACTAAACAAGAAAAAAACCCCTAAATTTCCATTTATCTTATAAACCTAGTAAACAATTTTCCCTAAAAAAAAATGTAATTACTACATTAAAATTGCTCATAAATAGTAGCAGGATGACAGCCAAAATTCCCAGATTACTGCTCTACTGCTTCCAAGAGAAATTACATTGCACTACTAAATATGGCATCAATCTCAGCTATTTGGTTACCTCTTAAAATATGTAAGATTTGGTCCCTGTGTAAGTCCTGTACAGCAAAAATATTCATTTCCACAGCTTAATATTAGTACGTATCTGGGCTGACCTTTTCATTAGCTAGAACCAGATTCAATTTCCAAGTGACATATATGTTACAAGATTGTTAAAAGCCATTGGTAATTAGAAAACACAGCCTTCAGGGTAGCCCTAGTTACAAAATAAGAGAACAAAATTTGAAAAAAATTCCTTCCTGCTATAAGAAATTAAAATTTGCTTATTTAATTATACAATACGTTGTAAGTGACTATATAGCACAGGAGCTTAATTACGTATGCTCCCTTTTTCTCAATTACAATCACAGTGAAATATGTACCCCGTCCCACGACAGCAGCAGTCCCCGCCCAGCCAAGGCAATGGCTGGGTCCTACCCACAGCTGACAGCCGCACTGTGAAGCGTATCACCTCTACCTGCGGCCCGTGAGACCCAGAAGGAGCAGTGACTGTCCAGCTTGGATAGCGATGGATTCAGCGATGGTCCAGAATCAATGCTCTCACCTCCATCCCCGCATAAGTTCACAGCCTGAGGTCAGCCTGGACCTGGCAGCTGGGGTAGTGGCTCCCACCCACATAACCCTCTGAAGACAAACTTCCCGAAGCCTTATCACCTGTGAAGGCCTCTTGGGTGAAGCTGGTGGTGTGAAACCTGGAGAAGGTAAGACTCAAACAAAGACCATAATCAGTGACCTCAGGTGCTGAGAAATTTGGGAGTGGAGGGCAGCAGGGACGCTCCATTCTTGCTGCTCTGATTTGGGTGCCCTGGTTCAGGGGAAGCCGCAGGTGAC